GGGCGGCGGTCGCGCGGCAGCAGGCATACGGTTGGTGACAGAAACGGGAGGCCCAGGATTTCTCACACCCGCCCCCGGCCCCTCCGGCCGCCCCCGCCTCTCCTCCGGCTCCGGCTCCGGCCCCCGCCGCTTCTTCTTCCTGTTTTTCCTTTTCCCTCCCCCCGCCCCGGCCCCGGCCTCGTACCCTCCGTCGGCCTCGGCCTCGGCCACCGCCGCCGCCGCCTCGTAGCTCACCGTAAACTGCGCCTGCGCCCGCCGCGCGTGCACCTCATCGTCCAGATCGTCCATGTCGTCTTCGCTGTAGTATCCGTCCTCCCCATAGTCCCCCCCGTCCTCCGCGTACTCGTTCAGCAGCACCACATTCGCCGCGCCCCCGTCCGCCATCGCGTGTGCGTGCCCGTGTGTCTCGTGCTCCTCGTAAGGGTCAAACAGCGCCGAGTCCCCGAGCATCGACGGCTCGAACGGAAACGCCCCTGGAGGGCGGTACCCTCCCGTCCCTGTCCTCGCCACCGTCGCGTGCGAGTTTGCATTCGTGCCGACATGCATACCCCGCCCCGAATTGAACGGCTGGATGGTCACCATCGTCTGCTGCTTATGTCTCGGGTCACTACGCAGCTTAACATGCAGACAAGGGCTCCCTACGATGCTGCGCAAATCCGCCGCGGCGGACTGCAGGTACTCCTCGTACCCGTGCCCATTCATCTCTGCGTCCATGCTCCGGCTCAGCTGGTCCACCGTCGCCGCGAATTCTGCTTCGATCAGTGCGGGGTTCTGACGCCCAACCGCGAACGACGCGGACAGTGGCCCCGTAGCGGACAGACGCACAGTCTCCACTGTCGGAGGAAGGCCTGGGATGTGTGGATCATGATGCGTACCGTTCAGGGGTTCCAGCGGCGGTAGTCCATCCTCGTCGTCCTCCTCATCGTAATATTGCGCCGCGGCGGACACGTCTACTGCCTTCCCCTTTCCCTTCTTTTTCTTTTTCTTCTTTCCATTTTCTGCTTGCATGCCATCAGTCTCGGGTGGAGGCACGGGCGGCTGGGGTGCCTGTACAGGTGGGCGGGGGGCTCTCTTCGCCTTCGCGGCAGGCATTACTTGAGACTGTAGACTTCGATCGCCGTTGCCAACCAGCAAGCAAGAAGAGAGATACAGGTTCCAGGAGAGATATCACGGGAAGCAGCAATCGTCAGTAGATAGCCTCACTTTGCGACGAGAAAAGTGGTCGTAGGCTTTGTGGTCGTGCAGAACGAGCGCTGGGAATCTTGACGCCCGATGAATGTGTGAATTGATGAATATGGCAAGTGTATGGTGAGTAAATTGTTATAATAGACGCTCGTTAGAATTGGAATATTTTCTCACATAATTATGCAAATCCTATGAGATCAAAAATTATGATAATTATCGATTGATAGCGACATCTTCGCTTTATTTAGCATGGCGGACTTCGTCTGCGACAAGACTGCATTGTACCTGAGTGAGTGCTCACAAATCAACTGTCTCTACCGCTGCACATGGGTTCGACAGATATGTATGAAACCAGAGTATCTCAATGGGGTTTGGAAAAGTACTGCCGCAGGACAACAGTTCAGGCGACTCTGGTTCCAACTCGTTCTCAGTTCGGGGCTATGATTGCAGTCCTCAGTCAACAGACTAGATCGCACTCTCAGGACGTTGAAGTATTGGATGCGGAGCGCAAGACTTTCTTCAGATGGCCACGGCAAAAGACACGAGTCGCCCAAACCCAGAACGTCAAGAAACTTGTTGATACAACTGACCTATGTGCTACGCAGCGTACGCTACTCTTTTACCCTACAAAGCCAGGCACTAGCCTCCACAAGCTCAGTAACAGCCATTTACCCTAAAGCAGAGAAGGTTGATTGGTAAATACTACAGGAAGCCTAAGTCAGCATGAAGTGTAGCAGAAAGAATACAAAGTAAACAGGCTCAGGTCATTCATCTCGACATGAACATCATAGATGACGGATTAAGACAGGGATAACTGAATGTGTAAAGTCTCATCTTGGCTGGTAAAGACGAAACAGTCTACTCACAGATGGACCACGTTCAGAATACTTTGCCCGCTAGTGGAAGGCGTCGTCTCAGGAAACGCTCAAGCCAGTTTTCAAAGCGAATATCAACAGGGAAGTTTAGGGTAGGCTTGTCATTGATAGTCACATGTCGCGGCGATTTAGCGAAGTTATCCGGGATGTCTATTTCAAGCACCAGCTTGCTGTCATGAATTCGGTGGATGAAACATAACGTCTGACTCGCAAGTGTGGCCCTAGGTTGGTATGTTATTCAAGCTGAACAATCTCGGAACACTTACTGAACTCCAAGGCGATTGGAGGGTTGATACCGACGCCAGGGCCATCACTCGACCATACAGTACCTTGCCCGAATATCTTCCCACAGCATGGTCTTCGAACTCGAGGACCGGCCTCCTTCTTATCTTGTGTTTCGAGATCAGACCTGTATATATATCCCCAAGTTGGCCGGGGAAAACCTCAGTCTTCCCTCGTCTCATAGCGCGATATGGCTTTGGGCCGCTTGACTTTCGCCGCCCTCGCGTTCGCAGCGCGCGGTGTGCTCGCGCAGACATGGTGCGTCTCAGATCTCATCCTTTCCACCTTTACGCGGTCGATCTCATGCGTCCCAGGTGTGGCAAGAACTACATGCAGAGCTCCCCGGTCGTTCCGCCGGGAGGACAGTTCGCTATCCCTGCGACCTCCTCTGAACCTCTGCTCGCCTTCCGCTGTGTACCCGCGATCAAGCCCTACCTTCCCGAGGACGCGTTTACCCCTGCGAGCATCATCGTCGACACGTACATCACATACTCCGAAATTGCCAACACCGCGCCCATCAGCCTTCCTGATGACGGCCTCCTCGGAGACTTGTTGGTCACGGTCGAAGTAGACGGCATGATTGTCACTGGTGGGATCGTCCCGCTGAACGCGACCAAGGTCGAGCTTCCGTTCTCCTTAATCGGCCTAACCCCGCAGAAAGCGGCACGCGACGTCTCGTGCACGGCCGTGTATGCTTCGACCAAGGGCTTGCAGACATTCAAGACCTCGGCGGCCCTGTCTTACCTGCCGAACCCGACTGACGGAAGTGCTGTAACCAAGATGGACTTGCGGACTGGCGCACTGCTTGCGAAGCCCGCGACTGGCAAGGGCGGTGACTATGAGCCGGTGATGGCTGTTGGATTCTACTCAGGATTTGACAACTACTTAGCTACGAACCTGTCCACCATTAACGAGGCCAAAGAAATGGGGTGAGTGGCGCACTCTGTCATCGTTTACTAATCACTCAACGTCTACTAGGTTCTCCGTTGTACGAACACTTCCCTAGTGGCCACATTCTGATTGACTTACCTTTGACCTAGATCCATCCTATCCCGACTTTCGACAACCTTACGCAACTCCAAGAGGTCATCACCCGGATGGAGGAAGTCGGCATCTACTTGATGTACGACATGCGATTGTACGTCATCCTGTAGCTTTACGTTCATTCATCTGTCTGATGGTCATCAGTACGTACATGAACGACACTGCGGTAATGGAGCAAGTGAACATGATCAAAAACAGCTCCGCTCTCCTGCTCTGGTACACTGGAGATGAGCCGGACGGCACGTCCGACCCACTGAATGCCACAGTCCACGCATACGACCTCATTTACGAGCTGGACGGATACCACCCGGTCTCACTCTGCCTGAACTGCTACGACTATTATTGGTCCAACTATACCGCGGGTGCGGACATTGTGATGCAAGACGCGTACACGATCGGTCTCAACGCCACCTGGTCGGTCGAATGGGTGCGTACCTACATGTTCTCCGGTGAATCTGCAGCCGCATGAACAGGTCAACTCGTACAGAACACCTCATGCACGCCTGACTTTGGCGACTGTGGATGCGACGACTGCAAGGGCGACTTTGAAGACATCAGTAATCGGATGGACGTGTTCGCGTACCGACTGTGGGCAGAGGGCTGGGACAGGACGAAGGCCGTGTGGACCGTTCCCCAGGGCTTTGGTGCAGCAGAGTAGGTTCCTGTTATTCCATGCCAACGTCGAAATGCTCACCAGAGATTTTCAGGTACTGGCGGCGAGAGCCTACCGGTCCCGAGTTTGTAGTGCAGAGTGTGCTCGCGATCAACCACGGTGGCAAGGGTGATTATTTTGTTGTCCAAAAGTCAGACCATAGTGCTTACTGCTGTTCGACGCGCTCCTTTTTCAGGTGTCGTGTCGTGGGACGCACCAACAACGACGGCCATCTGGGACTACGCCTCGCTACTCGCAATGGCTTCTCCGACGCTCAACGCGTTCATCGCAAGTGACAGCGCGACATTCCAGCACGTCTTTTACAATCAGATCGACATCGGATTTTGGTCTGTCGACGGGAAGACCCTCGTGCTCGCGACGAACCTGAACTACGCCAATGAGACATTCGACCTGGCCACTGTTCCAGGCCTGAGGACCTACCCGGCAACCCAGGTACTGAACAGTGGTGCGGCGCTGAGTGGTAGCGTAATCGAGTTCACCTCTGTTGGATCTGGTGGATTCATTGTGGGTTGAGGGATAAGGAAGGCTGGCTCCAGTCATTAGGTCCAAAACTCAGTAGCGTACATTTGGGATTCGGTCGATGTCATGTAAATGGCAATCACATAGTGCATTATCTGAATCAATGATCGATACAACTAGCGCTTGTGATCCCTGCAGTCGCGCGGATGAGATTCGATCGTTGCAGACTATCCAGGTCAGCGTACTGCCAAGAAAAAGTTGTCTCAGCAAGATTCCAAGAACAGGTGTACAGGTAAACAACATGTTATTTTGGATTGACTGCAACAACACAACACGTCCCCTAATGATACGTAACAAGATGACACGATACTACACATTCTATCTGGAAGTACGAAACAGGGAATCCGAGACAAAAGCATGATCATTTGAACTGCAGACGACATCATAGTCAGTGACCGACAAATCGAACAAGTTGGAACACGTACGTTCTTACCATCCACCCACTTCTTACCATCGACCTCCAAATCCCAAGCGAGGGCAGCCTCGAAGAATGCCTTCTGTGCAGCGTCGCTGAGATCAATCTTCTTGTACTCGTACGACTCCCAATCGGGCGCAGCCTCTACAGACAGCTTGATGTCCTGTCCACGCGCGATAAGTGCACCCGTGATGATAGAGTCGTTTGTCTGGCCAAGTACGCCCATGGAGCCGAACAAGTATTTGCGCGAGGCCTCCAGACGATTGAAGAACCCGCCAATTTGGTTCGACGACATGAATGTCTGTGTGAGCTCGGAGTTGTACTTGAAGTCCACGCGCCAGATGGAGAAGCCCTCGGCGTCGAAGCTGCACTGTTCGTCAATTCATCAGCAACAGGGAACGTAACACTACTACATACTTTTCGTAGAACCACTCCAGCGACCCACCAGCTCCTCGAGTGTCCTTGTTAGAGTATGCACGCTTCCAATCCTCGAGGTTGAAGGTGGACTTGGGGAGGGAATCAAGGGGGTTCTTTGCCTTCGGCTCCTCGGGAACAAGGTCATCCTCCTCCTCATCCACTTCCTTTGCCTTGGGCTTCTTTTCTGCTTTAGGTGCGAGCGGTGCAGCGGGCTTCGGTTCTTTCTTCTCCTTCGCGGGAGGAGTATACTGTGTCGCTTTGTCGCAGTATACAATCTCGCCGAAAGCTTCTTTGATCGAAGGCTGATTTGCGACCGTCTCGAAGTGTCGTAGAAGGTTTGGCAACTTCGCGCGCATTGGTGCGTCAATACAGAAAGTGAATTGACGCTGTACAACTGATGCGAGCGTGATGTCGGCAAGGGTGATGCGCTCTGTGACTAGGAATGTGCGAGTAGCGAGGTGCTGCTCAACGGTGTCTAGTGCGCGTTGGACTCGCTCAACCATGGTAGTGTGGACCTAGGAAGTGCGGGTCAATCAAGTAGTGTTCGGTATACATTACAGCAAATGGGCGCACGGGTTTAGTGTAGGGGGTGATGACATTAGTGAGGAGTTGCCAGATGATACGGCCAGGAGCATTCAGTTCAGTGTCAGTAAATGCCGCCCACTGATCGATAAGAGCAGCCTCCTTGGGGTTCGAGCCCAATAGGGTTGAGTTAGGTGCGAGCGAAGCAACTACAAGAGCGAGTCAGTCAAAAAATTCGTAGATTACGTTGAATGAGATCATGAGCATCAGAATTATAAACCTCGGCATTAGGTCAAAAATTGATTTAGACAGGAATAACTGAAAATAGTGATCTCGGACTCTGCTCGAATGAACTGCGAACATAATATCAAGCCATTTCAAAGTCCCAGCAGGGTAAAGCATCGCGTGATCTCCACATAGCAGTCGCTGAAGAGCACTGAAAGCGCAGCGGTCGCGGGCTCATGAAGACTTGGTGAGTACCTAGTCACTCCTGGACCTCGTTCCATCGGCTGGCTGCCAAAGGGAACCAGCTGATCTCCTGTGCTTGAAGTCTCATATATCCACAATGAGCGAATTCATCAATCGTCTTGTCTTCTCCCCACAATGCCAGTAGGGAATTTGGATGGACCATGACTGCAGGCGCGAAAATGTATGCAGCACTTACCGTAGCGTGCAATAGCTTGGGTCTCGAACAGCTTGAAACCGTCTTTCGCCTCCAGCGCAGGGATTTTTCCGTGAGGGAACTTTGCGCGGTACTCGGGCGTTTTGTTCGTCTCGTTGTGGACATAGTGTTCAGGAGCATCGAGCGTGAGGCCCGCGAATGCAGCGATCGCGCGGATCTGGTGAAAGCCGGTCAGACGGGATCGCCGGGGGCTGTATAGGAGTCGAAACACACCCTCTTGCCGTAGTCCTGCTTGGGCTGAGTCCAGAGAGTACCGATGGATGCCATTTTGCAAGCAGAATGAAGCAAAAACGAGATTGGAGGAAAGTGACTCTTAAAGAGATGCGCGAAGATAACAGAAAAATTCGAGCAGATGATGCACGTGCGTCCCGCTTCAGGGCCGGCAATGCATCGATACCTTGCCTCAATCATCCTCATCGGATGCATTCATGCCATCGATTCATTCTAGATATTACATTTGAACTGTTTCCTGCATACTACATATCCAAGAAGCAAAGGATGTCTGCGGCTTGGGTGGCCTTTGGACTTTGATCACGTGATTTAGAAGCGCGGCTCACTTATATGATAACTTTTGCGATCCGTCCTAACGAAGCAACATGGCGCAGCTGGAAGCGCGCGGGGCTCATAACCCCGAGGTCACTCGATCGAAACGAGTTGTTGCTACTTCGTCGACCTCGTGCGAGATTTTTTAATCGTAATGCGTTTTGAACGTGCAGCCATTAGTAGGATTTATAATGCAAAATTGCTTTAACTTAGAATCACGGTAGCTCTGTTCGCAGCCACAGCTACAGCATATGCAGTAATGATACCTCAACATACTTCTACTATCTTCTTCTACTATAAATAAGCATAGTTTCCTTTTCCAGCCTATATACTTCTCGCTCTTTCGATTTGCGCGTTCTCATACCCTTCTTGCAATTATTTCAATGTATCTCAGAAAATGTATCCTCTTGCGCTCTCTCAAGTTCTGCAGCATCTGCATTCCTGAGTCATAAGGCCCACCAGGTATACTGTTGTATTCGAAATCAATAGTAAAGCAACCGTGCGTAAGCATGGGTATACTGCTAAGGTCGCTACATCTGAGAGCAGACCAACGACATCATGCATCCCAGAGCTGAAGCTGTAACTTCAAGTTTGGAGTGTATGATATTCAGGTTCATCTGCGATCATGCTTACATTCACGAGCGCGTTTCTGTCGTTTGCTCCTCCGAGTCGCTTGCTACTCTGGCAGTCCACCGCGACAGCAGTCGCACGCAGGAACTAATGAGGCTGTATCCGGGTGCGATTGCTCTGCTACTGTGATAGGTGTGAGGAGCAGTAGCCATTCTACATTTTGGACCGCGAGTATGAGGTACTACATGCTTCGTGCTCGCTGTTATTCTATCTATCGTTGGTGTTTAGTTCTTCTGTAGTTATGTCACTATGTGGATGAGAGCTCCGGAGCGACCGACCGCAGGTCGGATGTGGTAGGAGCTGCCACCGTTGCTGCCCACTGAGTATATTATTCTTCGAAATCAACAATGAAGCAACCATGCTTAAGCACGGGTATACTGCCAGTTAGAAGTACAATTGGGCTTGGAGCCCTTTTGCATTAGCATTCAGCACAGGTCAGATTTGCAGATCCGCCACCTCTACAATCTCGATCCTCTCCTCGTCGCCCTTCCGCTCGATGCTGATCTCCGACAAGCTCGAATTGCGCACGTCCGCTGCTCTCCTCAGCTCCTAGACCGATGCCGCGCGCTTTCCCCCAAGGAACACCCGGCCTCCAGGCGAGTCCTCCAGCGATCTCACGATGATGTCCTTCTCAAACAGATACTTGATGTCCTCCAACGCATATCCCTTTGTCTCTGGCAGGAAGAAGTACACCCATGCGGACATGACGATGCAGCAGAGGCCGAAGAGGAGGAAAGTCCCGTATGTAATATGGTCAAGCATGGCTGGCGTCAGGCGCGATATCGTGAACGCGAACAACCAGTTGACGCAGACAGCGCAGGTCATGACAGCTGGGCGGAGGTGGTTCGGCGAGACCTCGCTGGCGACGACCCACGGGAGAGGGCCCCAACCAATACAGTAGAACACGGCGTAGAGATAGACGGCCACGATGGAGACGTAGCCTGCTGGAACGATCGTAGTCTGCGGGTGGACGGCGCTGAAGCCGCCGATCCACAACATTGCAAATCCTTGTCCCAAGCCGCCAACAAAGAGACAGATTTTGCGACCCCAGCTCTCGACGGCGAGCGCGAGGGTCAGTCCTACAGCAATAACTTTGACCAAGCCGTAGATCCCCGTGGAAAACAAGCCGGACGTAGTGCCGGATATTCCAAGCCCCGCAAAGATCTGCGGGCTGAAGTAGTTGATCGCGTTCGTGCCTGTCCATTGCTGGAAGAACATCGCGATGGAGGGGATGAGGCACCGAAGTGCGATCTTACGCGACTCGCCCATCATGCGGAACTGCATGAGCATGGGTACACGCTGTTTACCCATAAAGTCTGCCTTGATCTCGTCCAGCGTGAGGAGGACGGCTTTGTCGTCGACAGACGTCCTGACGACGTACGCCAGCGTTTCCGCTGCTTCGGCGCAGCGCCCCCTCCTCACTAACCACCGAGGCGACTCGGGCTGCGGAAGCATCATGAGGACGAAGAGGATGCCTGGAACTAGCTGCACGAGGAAAGGCATCCTCCACTGCATGTTGCCGCTTGGAAGGTTGATAGAAGAACTGTAATTAACCCAGACTGTGATCCGTATATGAGTGATTCTTGTCAGAGCATAGAGATAGCAGGAACACATACAACTCAACATCATCCCTATATTGTGCAAGAATTCGACGAGGCATGTGCATCGCCCTCTGATGTATCTGGGCACGCACTCTGACACATACGACGGTGCCAGAGCGGATACCATGCCCACTCCGAGGCCAGCGAAGAACCGACTGAAGTAGAGTACCCGTAGGGCGACGACTTGATTGCTTCCAAGACCCACAATAGCCTGGAGGAGACTGCCGATGATGTAAATGATACCAGATGCAATGAGAGACCATTTCCTCCCAAACCGACTGGATGTCCAACTAGTTCCGAGTACGCCAAAGCTGATGATTCAAGATGACTGAGTGAGCTACGGCACGGCGAACAAACGGGCGAGCCTACAAGCTCCCCCCTTGCATAATGGACACAATGTTCCCGTTGAAGTCAGCTTGGGCAGAGGTAGACATCTTGTTGATCCCAAAGTAATCTTGGAAGGACGCGAGAGTCAAAATACCACCCATCAGCCCAGTGTCCCAGCCGTAAAAAAAGGATCCCATGGAGGCAGATAAGGCGAGAATGTAAGCATTGCGGTGTCGCGAAACTTCAGCAAGCGTGCCCTTGATTGTGAGGCCCATGGCGTGAAGCTGCTAGCAGCTGGAGATCGAGGGAAGTTGGTGCGCTTCCGCCGGTATGTTATATAATGCTGACATTCCCATTGTGTCATTGGAGAACCACTGGCTACTGGAAGACCAGCAGGCTTTGGATGCGAGAGATAGGCGGTCATAGGACTGTCACGGAGTGCCGCAGCTTGGCGAATCCAATACAGGCAAAGCTAGAAGATGAATCGAATCGAGGTCACCTGCTCCTCTCCTGCATTCTGCTGACTCGTATCATTCTCAATAGCCAGGCCGCTGTGTATATTACCTGGACTTGTCTCAAGTCTAGATCATTAGATCATTCCTTCAATCTACGCTTTTGCAGCCTTCAGATACCCATGTATGGTCTTTCGTGGAAGTGGGCAATCGCACAGTTCCAACGAGCACAGGGCCATGTCCTGCGGTGGATCACAGGTTGTTTCAAATCCGCACCTATTGGCGCTATGGAAACACTTGCGGGCCTATTTCCTATACGTGTCAACATTGATCGCTACATGGAAAAGTCAAGCTTACGAGTGCGGACGCTCCACGAAAGCCATGCTAACCGGTAAGTGCTACCAGAGTACTGGACTACCAACATGAGGAATATTACCTGCCCTTTCCCCTTGTCCGAGATTAGGCGGAAGAGCAAGTTCTCTCGCCCCACTCCTGCGACCTATATCGACAGGATAGGGCGGCTTTCATCGGAGGAATTTCCCCCCCTTCATCCTATGGCCGAACCGGGTAAGCGGTTAGTGGACCGTTTTGCTGACCGGCTCGCCGAACACTTCCTAACGCCGAATTCACATCCACCAAAGGCGTCCACTGAGTTCAAACGATGGTCCCAAGAGACGTGGTCGCCCCTCTTCCATAAGGGGCGTCGTGCGAGATCAGTCTGCACGCTCCGTGTTCACTGATGGGTCTCTGCTCCCGGACGGTTCGCGGTCGGGCTGTGCGTGGGTCACCATGCGTGGGTCGGTACATCTGAACAGTGGCAAGTTTGGGGCAGGCCGGTGCACCATCTTCGATGTTGAGATGATGCGTTAGCCCGGGGTATGCATGCCGCTTTGGAGTGCATCCCGGATGACTGTACACACCTCGTCCTGTGTGCGGACAATGCAGGAGCGCTGTCTAAGATTCCTAACTGTGAGATGGGTCCAAACCAGCTGGTATCTATTTTGGCCGCCGCGTCAGTCATCCGGTTCCTCGAGAAGAGCGATCGACGCCACGTTATCTTGCTGTGGGCGCTATCTCATAAGGACGTAGCACCCAACGAGTTCGTCGACGACCTGGCGAAGGCTGCTCTTGAGGAGGAGCAGCCGGATTTCGTGTCCCAGGCGCGCGGGGTGGTTGACACCTTAGTGCGAGCAAAGCGGAAGTGGGCGAAGCTCTATTCCGAAGTCCCATAGGTACAGAGGTCGGAACATGTAGATTCTCAGGACTCACAACCCACTCAATCACGTGGCCGAACGGTCCTACGCACTCCGGACCCTAGGTGAGGATAATCAGGAGATGGCCCGAGCGTGCAGAGTGTTGACGAACCACTTACTTAACGGATACCATCGGGACGAGTACTACACATACCGGGCCCGCGCAACTGCCCATGCTCCGGAATTCTGGAGGACAGAGATCGCACACTGTTCGAGTGCCCGATGTGGCTTCGCCACAAGCCAGATCTTGTGCAGAATCATGCGCCGGATGACTTGAAGCAAGCGCAAGTGCGCCGGCAACGAGGGTGGACGGAGGACGACGTCCCCATCTTCTTACGCCTGAATCCTATGGTGACTACATTCCAATGGACGAAGATACTTGCCCAGGCCGCTGCGGATAGAGAGGCTGGTGACGATTCGTCGGTGGCCAATGCGCTTCTGTATGCTCACACGTTATACAAAGTCAACGCGTTCCGTGCGTGTGGCAGGGAGCGCCGAATAGACCCGGAGAAGAGATTCCAGGAACACCCGGCTTCCGTGGCTTCCAGTTTCAATACCGCGCCGAGGAGGTAGCGGTACAGATCAAGAGGGTGTGGAGGGATGATCCCGAGCGCTACCCTGCCCCATGAGGGACGCAAACGAGGCAGGCGGGGTGGTCGGAGGACGAATTGTCATGTTTCTTTGACTAATTCCACAGGTCGCGACGTTCGAGTGGGCCGAAACACTCGCTCAGGCGGCAAGCGATAGGGAGGATGGTGACGGATATTCGGCTGCCAATGCAATTCTGCATGCCCACACGGTAGGCCGCGTCGAGGCCTATCAGGAATGGTGCGCCGGACGCAGGGACTCGAGTCGAGGACCCTCTGAACCTGAACGCGGACAACCCGAAATGGAGGTTGTTCGTCAGCGAGTACGACGCCGACAGGCGCTCCTCTGAGGTGGCTGCGAAGTGGCGGACTCAACCGCCGGATGGCAGCCCACCCCAACCGCGCGCCCATTAAGGCGTCGTGACGTACCCGACCACTACGATCGGGCCTCCTTAGTATAGACTGACACTCTGCGTGTACCTTACGGTATGGAGTATAAATTTGGAGTATATATATATAAAAGAGAGACGCGAACGACCAAACGCCGACGTTTCTCCAGTGAAAGGGGGAAATTCGGAGCCTCACGGCGAGGAGTGTTTACCGCTCCAGTGATATTCAAGTAGACAGATTCGGACCATTCTGCATGTATCTCTAGGTACGGAGTATAAACCGGGAGTATAAAAAAAAGATCGGCAAACCGTCTACTCCCGCACAGCACACTGTCTGACAATGATTGTCACGTTATGTACGAGGCCCTCTAGTGACGCTATGCCGCTTGTTATGAACTTGGAGCCTCAGAACAAAGTATGACCGCTATTGTCTTACCTATCTCGCTCAGTGATAGAGGCACATATCTTGAGCATCGCCAAGCTACGGCCATTGATTCGCGGCCGCCTTCAGCACCACTCCTACGCCTGCTACCATCGCCACCAACAACACGATGCTTGGATACACTCCTGCGGCCTTACCGCCCCCACTGCTGCCCCTACTCGTACTACCAAAGTCGAGATCCTTCCCGCTATGCCCATTCGACGTCGCTAGCACACTCGCGTCGATGCTCACATCCGTGTGCTTGGACATGGTCGTCGTCACGAACGTCACGGTACTGCTCGGTGTGGACTCTTTCAAAGCGCTGCTCGAGAAGAAAACAAGTGCAAAACCGGGCGCGGGAACTGTAATGGCACAGGTGTTGGCGGCCTGGTTGCAGGCCACGGTCTGCACGGTCTGGACACCTTGCAGTCTACCGTCGGACGCAAATTGGCCACCAAATGTCTGAAAACAGTGATCAGGAATAGAATGTTGCTGTATGTGGCCAGGCTCACCTGATTCGCCCATGTGATGTTGAATTTTTCACCAACGGAGGGCGCTACAAGGTACCTATAACGCAAATATCCTAGTCAATATCGATAGCTTTTCCAGCAGATGAGCAGCTTACTTGACGTATACTTGGGCGGGGACGGCATTAGGCTGGCCCGTGTTTCCCCCTCCCACAGAGATTGTCGCGGTGTAAGAATTGGCACCAGAAGGATCCGTCATGTAGTTCAGCAGTGCAATTCGAGCAAGGGCACCGTTCTCGTAAACAGCATACCCCGGAGTATAATTGTTGTTCGCATTGGCCTCCAAGTCAACAATCTGCGAATTATTCGTGGGACCAAGCGTCTCAGCTACTGCGAGAACGGAGTAGAAAATGGGCCCGATCGTCCACTTGTGGTAGGATGACTGATTGGTTGGAGGCGCTGATAAAAGAGACGGTCAACTTTTATGAGACCATAATGGATTTCTCAGGGAAGTTGCCTACGGGTGAATGGCTGTCACAGGCATACTGGATACATCAACGATGTTCAACATCTGACGCCTAGATCACTTACGTTATAGTACACGTCTTGCCCACCAACATGTAGAAGCCCATGTGCAAAGTTGCTCGCGCCCATCTGAAGCCCGTAGTCGATCGCCCACAGCGCCGCGCCAAAGCTATCGCTAATACCAGGGAATCCTCCACATGATGCCGTGTTGGTTTCAAACATTATGAATGGTTTTCCCGCTGCCAAAGCTATCGCTGAAGAATTGAGGTAGGGCGCAACAATACTTTTACCTGCTGCATGAGTGAGGTAATTGGGAAATTCTGCCTGTGGATCCTTGGCTGGACCAAATCCAGGATAAAGTGCAGCGCAATTGTCATCCGGATAGCTGCGATGGGGTGAGTGCGACACAGCGAGAGGGAAGGAAATATAGTACGAACTGCTCGACTGTAAGTGCAGAGAGACTGCTTGTGTAAGAAGCGACGAAGCCCGTGTTCCAGACCTCTGCATTCGAGGGCATAAATGATAGACCATAAAAGGTCAGGGCTAAACCTCCATACCCTCCGGTGTCCAATCCCCTGTGGCAACACTTGGGGCCATGAGGTTATTTGTCGCATGGATGTTGGAATCTGCTTCCATAGCTGCTACGACAACACCGAACTCGCCAAAATAATCATACGGCGTATAGTTTCCAGGACGATGTCCATGTCTGCCGCGTCATCAGAAGTGCGTAACTAGATCATGGCGCACTCTTACCGAACGTAGAGATCCGGCTCGTTACCAACCTGGAGACCCAGAAGATGAGAACCCAATATCCGTTCTCCATACTCCGCAATTGCTAATCGTAGATTCGTCGTATCATTGAGCGGAATACCGAGGTACCAGTTGGCATTGACCAGTGTGGAGATGTTAGCAAGCATGTACAAAAGGTCAGGGGTGTATAGCAAAGATGGTGTCAATGTCTTCAAAGGAATTAGTACACACCCGACTGGGCAAATGAAGTATGGCTTACCGGATTGCTGTTGCCATCATCTTCCTTTGCGATAACTTTACCCCTGGGTAATGATTTAACGAGTGTGGCATAATCCTGGGTGTTACCGCCGACACGGATGTGAACGCGACCCGCACGTTCAACGATAAGGGACATGAGGTTTAAGAATGGGACTTGTAGAAATGAGCTACTCGCGTCGTTAGCAAATTCACGACACGCACAAAAGGACAGTGTACCTATTCCGACCCACTTCGCCCCGTTTATGATGCTTGTCAGGAAAAAGACCCGAGTTGATGGCTCTACACTCACAGACTTGATTGGCAACAGACATCTCGATAGAAAATCCCAGAAGCGAGCCGCTGAGTGGAATAGACAAGCCCGACACGTTACCTGCTTCGTTCGAAAGCTGTATATTAAATTGAGTGGGTGGTGCAGGGCTTGGTATGGGTGGTGCACTCAGAACAGTGGGATTATATGCAGCATCTCCAGTGAAGGCTGAACTAGGTGCACTTGTGCTTGTGCTTGCAATCGTTGAGATGTGGAGGGGAACTTGGCTATACACGGTAACTCCATACGTTGAGGCAGCTAAAAGAAGGAGGGTATAGAGCTGTAATAACGGGCGAAACGGCATTATCAATGTGACCTGCACCAGGAGGTCGAATCACCAATACAAAGGCTCAAGGTCGTAAGAGTTCAAGTTCAACATACAACGACGTCCAGTCGAGGAAGCGTCGAGATCGATCAGCGTCAGCCTCGATGATCGGGAACATTGACTCCACAGTCGATGGGCCTCGGTTGGCATCAAACTAAAATACCAAAGAGGTTGGCCATCCCTCTCAAATCCGCACACAAAGCTTCGGAAACTAGAGGCATAACATCACGATACTGACATGTGGTCATAGCCGGCATAAACCTGCCCCCAAGAAATGCCAAGCGAAGTACAGCGTCACGTTATGGAGAGCCAGTTCATTATGCAAATCACCCATGCTCTTCCGTATCCGCAGCGACGACCAGAAATACTTGGGCACTGGAGGTAAATCGACCATGGCGACCTAAGTCCGCAAATCACGAGCAGCCGCCAAGACGCACCGGGGGGCAGTTCCGGATGGTCTCGCACGGCGGCCCTGAGCGGACTAAGGATTGCACGAAGCAGGTTGTCAAGGATCTCTAGATTAATCCTCAATGGCATAAAAGAAGGGTCCTCAACTTAAGATTCAATTTGCCGAGAGTGGCGGGCCTATCAACACAACTGCGAACTACGTTATATCTATCTCAACTCACCGAGGCCTGGATATCTCTTCCATATTGGACGATATCACGATGCGAATTTGTGCATGCTTTGAGTGCCAGTGAGTCCATCGACCCCCCCCCCCCCCCCC